GCATAATCGAGTCACAACAGAATTAGGATCTGTCCCCCGATGTTGTCGCGATTTTTGAAAAATTGTTTTCAGTGACCAGCGACCGCCGCCGACGACAAGAAGTCCCCTTTGAGGAGCCGTCGCGGTCGTCGCCTGCCTGCTCAATGCCGGTCTTTGCTTAGCTGCTACCCAGGTTAAAACATACGTGCTTATAATGGACCCTGGGCATTCATGCTCTGACGTCGTGGTGTGTGTTTGATTATTACCACCACCAGGATGGGTAACTAGCATTTCCTCCTCACCCAGAACCGCTTCAGGTGGGAGACAGAATCGCCATCCCCTTTTCTGATCAGAAGAATTTGCGTGGGTTGTATTTTCCCCACTATTAGCTTGGATTACCGGCGTTTCCTCGTCTCCCAAAACCGTTGCAGGTGGGAGCCAGAATCACCATCCCTTTAGCGGCAGCAATCTACCTCTTTTATGGGGGCCGAGATGGAGGGACTCATCAATCTCCCATTCAACACCGCGTCTTCTTTTCCGGTTCGCGAGGTGGTAAGTTCCGAGTCCAGTTGAGGCCCGATTCTTCGCCCTGTGGCTTGCTCGGGTGCTCGGCGCGACTGCTTGTGCGCACTCCAGGAATGGTAGTTGATCTGCTCTAGCTGGAGTGTTGATTCCGCAAACTAGCCGATAAACAAGAAGAGATCATCTTTGTTAGCCATTCTCCCAGCCAGAATGAGAAACCGAGGAGAGAGGAGAGAGCTCCTCTCACCATTTTTTTTAATTACAAATTGGTCTTATCTTAGAATTTCGATAACCCCATTTGCCTCGTCACTTCAACTATCACATATGATAAAATTAACAAAGCTGAATATCAATAAACATATTAAAATGTAAAGTGAATAACCACCCATTCAATTAAATTGTTTTTAGTGATAAACATGAAACAAAATAGTAAAACCAAATTAATAAAGTTGATATTTTTTTTTGAAATCAAAATCATCGTGTGATTTGAAAGAAAGTTATATTTACCCAAATCTATATGAATACATTTGTATCTCGTCCGTCATCATGCCTCGCGCTCTCCTCACTGTTGGATCTGCTTCACCGTTGCCGGAGTCCGGACGGGTTAATTAAGCTGAATCGCTAAATGTCGCCCTAAGAATTGCTAAAGGTCGCCCTAACTTACAATTCAATTTACCTATATACCCTTAATGAAAATTTAAAAAATAGGCCAACCAAACAGCCCTTTCACCCTTCTGCATCCCGTCGTCGGAGACCTCTGCAACCCGCCGCCGGAGACCGCTGCAACCCGCCGCCGGCCTGCCAAGTTGCCGCCGCCCGTCCCGCCGCCGCTCGCCAATCGCCGCTCGTCCCGCCGCCCGCCTCGTCCCGTCGCCGACCCTCTGCATCTCGCGCTCCACAGTCGCGCCGGAGAAGAAGAAGCTAAAAAAAAAAAAAAACGCCCGCAGTGAAACCGCGGTTAGACCGACGGTCAACGCGCGGTTGAACCGACGGCTGACCGCGGTCAAAGGGCGATTGACCAATGGTCAAACCGCGCTTTGACCGCGGTCAGCCGTCGGTTCAACCGCGCGTTGACCGTCAGTCTAACCGCGGTTTGACCGCGGTCGATTTTTTTTTTAATTCTGTTTTTTTTTAATATTCTGTGTTTAAATAAATATTATTAATAATAAAAAATTATTTATATGATATAAAAATTTGAAAAACGTTTTCGATAAATGTTAATTAATGATAACAAATTTAAAGAATATAATAAAAAAATTAAACATTTTAATAATAAAATTTAAAAGTAATTCGTTTATCTACTTAATTATTAATAATTTTACCTTAATTAATTATTTACTTTTATGTAAATAATGATTACATAGAACGTAACGTAAATAATGATTACATGGAAATCTTAAATTAATTACTTTATGTACTCTATTATTAATAATCCATTATTAATAATTCAAACGAAAAAATCATAAATCATATAAAAAATAGAAAATTATTCAACGAAAAAAATAAACCCAAAAAATGCCCAACCGCAAGTGACCTGCGGTTGGACCATGGCTGGACCGCAAATGACCTGCGGTTGTACCATGGGTGGACCGCAATTGACCTGCGGTTGGACCATGGCTCAACCGCAGGTGATTTGCGGTCCAGCCATGGTCCAACCGCAGGTCATTTGCGGTCCACCCATGGTCCAACCGCAGGTCATTTGCGGTCCAGCCATGGTCCAACCGCAGGTGATTTGCGGTTCTTTTTTTTTTCGTTTTTCAGTTAATGTATTTACCTCGTCGGAGTCGCTACTCCGACGATATCGGCTTCAAAATGACGATGATGGATTTTTCTCTTCTTAGATAGTGTTTTTTTAGTCCAAGTGATGTTTGTTTCATAAAGGGAAGGTAAAGAAGCTATGGGGGTAAAAGTGTAACTTTGATTCTTTTTAGGGCGACCTTTAGCAATTTTAAGGGCGACCTTTAGCAACTCCCTAATTAAGATCACCGGATGACTTTAATCCTACCGGAGACATTAAAATAGCTTCAATTTCCAAAGACTCTCTATCCCCAGATGGAACAGATTCAGGCTACTTATTACGCACCCTCTCTCCCTAAACTGACTGCCATAGCCCATAGCCATAGACTGCTTTAGTCCTTTTCCACCCTAGATTGGACTTTGTTTTACCCAGCCCTACTGCCCTACGCAAATTACCATCAATCTCAGAGCGGGAATCCCCAAAATTAAAGACAAACACTGAAACACATCTAACGATAGCAGAGAACAAAAACGAAAAGAAAATTAATACGTGTAGACAATAGACATGGCTGGTTCTGGCTGGACATCTTTTTTATCCATCTTTCCTTTCTCCACTTTTGTTTTCCGCCCCTTCCCCATGGGAACCGAACCCGTCCTAAAATTGAAAGACACATTCATATGAGATGGGAAGCTTTTATTTTTTTTTTCCTTTTTGCGTAAGACGAGCGGAAACCGAGGAGTTGGATCAGAAAAGCAAACAGATTCTATGCCACCATTATATTGCCAAGTAGGAAGAAGAAGAGGAGCATATTACAACCGCGAAAAAGAAACGCAGTGTGCAATAATTCATCGTCACCGTCCCGATGGGCAGAAGCAAAATAGATAGTGGAATTATATATCAGAAGTTGTGACGGCGGAAATGGTGGGCCGTACGCCGCCGATATAGTGAGCGCCGTAGTGACGGAAATGGCGCGGGGAGGGTTTCTTTCTTAGTATGATTAGCCGAAGTTGGATGGGACGTTTTTAGGGCCTATGTTCTCTCGGCTTTTTTTGTTAGGCAAAAATCTGCTGGGTAAAAGAGCACTGCCGATGACGGGAAAGCAGGGTGAAGATTTTGCTTCTTTTGCAGATAAATAGGTGGGACGTTTGTTGTTGATTGAAAGACTGCGGTTTACTGTACTTCTAGCCTGCCTCGGAAACCTCAAACCAGTAGGCAGTAGCATAGTAAATTGTAGTAGTAATTGCAATTTCTTTATGGTTGTTGTCAGTTGTCACAGACAGGAGATTTTCAGTTGGGCTGGGCAACATCTTTGATGCGTCGTCATCTGGGCCATGGTTTCAAAATGGCCAAGCGTTTCAGTTATTTGGGCTTTCCCACTTTGGGCCTGGCCAGTTTTATCATATGAATTATCAGTTTTATCATATGAATTATCTCCACGCTTTTGGGGTCTCTTTCCTAAACAACAGCATGTTTAAGGAAACGCAGTGGCGGGTTTATTGTAATATTGTTTGCTCATGGTATATGGTAAATTTCACACCCAAGGCATTTGGGTGGCTAATCGTGGTTTGGTATCGATACACCCGCAAATAACATGAAATGTAGTGGATGTGAAATTGATGTGGATGGATTGTGAGTTAACATTTTTCTACCTGTACTTATTCGGATTGGTGGTAAGTGGATTGCATGTTATCTGAATGATAACACCATATTTTCACATATCAAAAAGTTGCTTCTATTCTATACCATCGAATAGCTATCATGTTTCCTAACTGCACGACACACTAACCATCTACTTCTGAAGATGAAGAATAAAGATATTTTTCGACTACTATTATTGGTTAATATGTTGTGCAATGTCTATTAGATATTGAAATGCAAGTTATAAACTATTAATTATATCAAAGTCACAAAATACACATGTTTTCTCTACCACTTGGTTAATGGAGAAAAAATTGATGCAAATTGTATACAGATCCTTTGTAGACAAAATGAGAAGTGTATAAACTGATAGTCTGATACTGTGTTACTAATTTGCGAGAAACTTATTATTAATGTTAGCTAACTATTTTAATTGTGATTGAGGAAATGCTTTTGGATATAAACTCACAACCAAACCGCACCCACCCAACCCACCCAACCCAACTCGAAGAAGAATGTGTGTGATTAACAGATCAGAGTTACACCAACTCGCTAATAAGTGGATAAATCAAATTGATACCAAAAAATCACCCGATCTGTTCATTGCCCAACCCAATTTCACATTATTATGGTCAGTGGCGGGGTTGTTGTTTTCATTCTATTATACGCGGCAGCCCAATAGCAAGGGATTCATGATGCTGTTAACTTGAGAATTTGGAAAAGAAATTAGACATGGAATGGAACCAATGCCTATTGCTTGATAATTTTGATTATTTACCTTCATAAGTTATGGTCCCAATCTCGCTAAATTCCAATGATGATCACCAGTATCAGTGTTCTTACTCGAAAAAGCAAAATTTCCTTAAAACAATAAATTATTATAAAAGTTTGTCAGTTGAATTATACATTTGGTCACTCAATTTATTAATATTTAAATGACGCGAGACTATTAACAACTTCCATTGGCAAAGTTTTGCCAATGTTCCACTAGTACCCATATTTAATTGATCAACCATTTTTTTATAATCCAATTCAAAATTTATGTCCGTCCATATCTTCTGATCGGAATGTAAAACCAGTATCAATTCACACAGACAAACTGAAACTAGTAGAAGAAGAAAAGGGCAATGAATAAAACATTCAATCAAGTGCGTTGTCCTTCTATACAACCAACCAAATCACTGAAAAGCACTTTCTGTTTCAAGTCTTTATTACTAGCATAACTAACAAGCCCTGGCAATGGCGTTACCAATCAACAATCTCTACCAAATATGAAGAATCATCCATCCCACCCCCGCAGTTTTATTCCTATGAAACAAAATGAAACAGCGCACGTATTATAGACATCAGCCATGTCCAAAACCTCATAAAGAGTCCGTAGCAGAAAACTCAGGTCTTCTAGTCTTCCTAATCGTCATAACCAAAACCAAGTCTCTTGCTTTTCTATCGCCACTGAACCACAACAGCTACCGACGCCATCAACACCACAGCCCAATTTAACATCATCCCTCTTCCAATTCTACTCCCTGTTACCAAACAAATAGACAGGAGGAGAAAGTGTTCAAAATCAAACCTTGTTGCCACAGTTGGAATGATTTGAGAGGGTTGATCTTACCTTGATTCTTAGCACCGTCGTTTTGGGACAGTGCAGGCGTTGGAGCAGGAGGGCTTTGCATCGTGATCCCTAGATCCTTGCAATCCGTCCCCACCGCACCTGCAAAATGATCCCAAAATCGTTATCAACACTCCGTCGTCCGCGGCGGCATATCTAAGTGAAGTTCATTGATTAGAAAAGAGATCTTACATTCTTGGTAGCAAGGAAAGAGGGATGTGTTGAGAAGGTTATTGTATCCCTCGGAACATAGGCAGGTATAGGTGAACAAGGATGTCTTGTTGCAGGATCCTCCTCCACAATCTGCCCAGTTACATGCTGCCACAAACCAAACACAAAAGTCCTTACAAGCAAGCCAAGTGAAAAGCTTTGTAGTTTCACAGAAATAGGTCTGTAGCAAGTTCTTACGGTCGAAAAGAGTGGTATTGGACCTGCCAATCTTGTCTTGAGCCGGCGCCTCTGCTGGCTTGTTGCAGGACAGATCCATGGAGCCTGCAGTTTTTGAAGTAATCAACCAAACCCCCCATTACTATATTCCTAAACTATCCTGGGTTTTTAAGCATAAGCATTGTTTCAGAGAGGAGAGGGATTTTTCAGAGAGCTGACAGTTGGGGACAATGCAGGGGAGGAAATTGAGGAAAGTGACGCCGTCCATGGGATCGGGTCGGGTCTGCTTCCACCCGTCGTCGCAATCGCATTCGTAAGGAGGGATGGTGGCGTTAGTCAACGGCTTGCACTTGCCTTTCCCGCATTCCACGTTCTCACATACGTTGCCTAAACACAGACAGAACCCCCCAAATAAGAAAACAACAAAGAAAGAAAGAAAAAACTATAAATCTCGAATCTTTTAGTCAGATAGACGAAAACCCAGTTGAGTAATAAGAGGAAAGTTTCGGAATTTGCGGGAATTGATGGAGAAGATGGTGGGAGAGGGGGAGAGGGGACGAACCCACGATCGGAGGGAAAATCGGCGACAGCAGGTCGCCGGCGATCAGCTGTGTTTGCAGAAGGACAAGAAGGAGAGTTGCGAGACGAGGGAAAGCACCGGAACCAGCCATAGCTGGAACGAATCGCAGAGATGGACTGGGAAAAACAGAGAGAGGGAGAACGGGAGAAGGGTTTTGGGATTTTTGTGAGTTTGGAGAAAACAGGGGATTTAATTTAAAGGGCGGGGGTTCTTATTGTACTGTTGGGGAGATGGAAGATTGGGGACGACGCTGACATTGGGAACGGGCGGGACTAATTAAACATGAACACGCTCTTTCAAGGTTGTCAACCCGCGGGTTGACCCGGACCCGGTCGAACTAGTGGGTCAAGGGTTAATGGGTCAACCGTTTTAGCCCGGTTTGGCCCGGAAATATAAAAAAAGTCATTATATTGTACTTATCCTCATAAATTATATCAAATCTTATCTAACATATGAGTTATAACATATAATATTACACCAAAATAACATATCGTATATAGATCCAACATATAGTGAAAATTCACACACACTTATATAACATAAATATTCAAATGTTCAACTTAGCATTCCAAAAATTGAGCTAGACGAAAAGAAAAATCGAAAAATAGGCGCATTTCGCAAACCAAAGAAAAAAATGACACAATTTGACCTCCAACCCGGTACCTTGTAGCAGTCGGCCCGGCGGGTGCGTGCGGCCCGTTTTTCTCACCGGGTCATGGTCAAAATGGGTCGACCCGCGGGTCAACCCGCGGGTTGACAACCTTGCGCTCTTTCCATTACATGATTTGGGATTTGATCTCTCTCTCTCTTGGGTCTTGATAAATGATAACTGAATTTGAGTTTATGGGGCGACATGTAGGAATGGCAATGGGCAGGTCCGGGGCGGGTTTCTTGGTACCCAGACCCGCCCCGTGGCAGGTCGGGTCCAGGTCGGGTAATTTATCACGGGTCACGGGTCGGGGCAGGTCGACCCAATGGGTAAGCAATTTATATGAAAAATATTAGAAATGTTCGTTATTTTTATTATAAGACCATGAAAACAAACAATATTATGATAAATATAGTTAAATTATTGGAGAAATTGAGGTTTTCACTAATTTACAACTTTATTGCAGCTAAAATTTGATTTAGTAAAAGGAAAATCCTAAGTAATTTGACTAAAATTAAGTGTAATTTAGGCAAGAACGAGTCGAGAATGGGGCGGGTCAGGGCAGGTCGGGTCTATGAGAGTACCCATGCCCGCCCCGCCCCACCTACGGGGCGGGTCGGACCCGCCCCAAAACAGGTCAAACAGGTCGGGTAAAACGGGTCAGGTCGAAATTGCCATCCCTAGCGACATGGTCGTGTGTTGGACTTTGTTAGGGGACTTCCGTTTCTCTGTGTCTATTTGAGACTAATTAATTTTACACGGGGGATTCTAGATGGATTGTACTTCAATAGTTATTTCTTTCTTGCTTTCTCATCGACGGTATGAATCAGCTTTTAAGTGATCACAACAATCTTAAATTACTATCATCGTGTTCCATGGCGGGAACAATTTTTTGGGGGGAAAAATATCCGTGATGTGTGATTATGATCTCTTTAAAGGAGAGTTTAATGGGGGAAAAACTTGTACAAAGATCTTTGCATTTGGAAAATCCTGTATTGGTAGTAGTGGTGGAGTATAAGACCCACGGATGAAAGATTGTTAAATTAGGTATAATAGTTCATCGATAAAAAAATGGGGGCCGTTATATTGAGAATAGTTTATCGAAATGTGATGTGTTCGAATCTTTGCGACCTCATTTATTAGCACATGGTATTTCAATTTGTGCAACTCCAACATCTCGAGTTATTGATATTAAACGATTCTTAACAAAGAAGATCATTTGAAAACGAACAACTAACAAAATCGTATTGTATAGATTCATTATTAAACTTCTCTAACAAACTCGAGTTGTTGATACTAAACAGTTCTTGACAAAGAACGCTATTCGAAGAGAACAACTAATGAAATGATTACATAATTGTTTGGTACACAAGGTGATACTAAAATTTTCAATATTAAATTATATCATGAATTATTAGCAAAGTTAACAAAAACTATTTTATCAAGTGTATTTTTCTTTTAAGTGGACCCACCTTAGACTAAATCCCGGCTACGCCATTGTTGGTAGGAATGGCAATAGAGCAGGTTTGGGTCGGGTATCTTGATATTCATACTCGTCCTGTGGCAGGTTGGGTTTAGGTCGGGTAATTTATCATGTGGTGTGGGTCAGGGCAGATTGATCCAATGGGTATGTAATTTAATTGGAAAAATTCAGTCGTATTTATTATTTTGATTAGAAGTCCAAGAAACAAACCATAATATGATAAATGTAGTTAAATAATTGGAGAAATTGAGGTTTTCAGTTATTTACAATTTTATGATAGCTAAAATAAGAGTTAATAAAAGGACAATTCTAAGTAATTTGATTGAGATTACATGTAATTTAGACAAAAACGAGTCTAAAATAAGGCGAGTCAGGACAGATTGAACCGATGAAAGTACCCATATTCCGTTCCAAAAGAGAAGGGTTAACTCAAAATTGCCATCCATCCATGTAATATAAAGCTAAATTGTTGGTTACCCATTCCCACCGTCGTATATGGTATACATTGTCTATGCTTGACTAACTTTTATTCTCTTTTTTCCTAGGAAATGTCTTTTACTGTCTTGAATTGAATTTATAATATTATTGTGACAAAAACCGGGGGGAAAAATATTATTGTGACGAGAAGACCGACTGAATCCCATTTTCTTGTTCCCGGTCATTGTTGGAACCAAAGAACAGCTGAACAGGAATTGAGAACAAGTGTCATAAGTCGCACCGAAGGAATTAGTTATTATTTTGTTTTTCAATTATTTGGACTAATCTACATGTAGTTGTAATTTCCCCATGGATAGAGACCTTCCGTGAAAATATAATAGATCGTTTGGTACCAAATAAATCAATAATTCATTTCATTTTAAAATGAATTACTGTGTATAATTTATTGTCAAATGAATTCCTGTGTTTGGTATATCATATGTAAACTAAATCCTTAAAAATAAATGAATTTAATTGAATTATAAGTTTCTTCAACTACACCCTTATTAATTTCTGGACAAAACAATATTCATTGAAATTCCATGTTCTAAAAAGCGTCTTTGTCCCATATGTAAAATATCAAAAGTGTTATTGTGTGTTTTTATTCTATTAATTAGTTCTTTTCTAATATTTCGTCGATGAACCCTACAATCTAGTTGTGCCTTCTTAACATATTGATTCAATTGAAGTATAAATATAAAATAACCAACATATATTACTAGCATTGCAATCAAATTCTTGGACGTTCTTCATACTGCATCAATCCGCGCCAATTAATATATGTAGAAGTAATTTAGTTAATACTTGTGGAATTCATTTGCAAATTCCATCTCAATTCCTTAGAATTGCTATAACAGAATTCAAAATTTAGAATTGAGAATGAATTCTTTTAAATACCAAACACAAAAGGATTTCATTTCAAAATAATTTCTCAAAAATTGTGGAATTCATTTATACCAAACGGTATGTAAGAGTTCTCAATCCAACAACGCCTTCATTGTTGTCTTTAATCTACTGTACCTTTTCACATTTCCTTAAATATTGGGATTTACTATTTAGACATCACCTCTCAAGTTCTTGCAGCTGTTTCAAATTCCAATACCTAATTATTCAATTGCCAGACAAGAATTTTTATGCCACATTTTTGTAGTGGTGGACCTTAAAGTTTTATACAAAGGTGTCGATCTTTCAAAAATTAAATTAAAATATTCAATTAATAAGAAAAATATATAACTACAAACATGTTTTCTTCTTATGAAAAAATTGGAAAATAAAATGAATATACACATTATGTACGATAATCAACAAATCTCTTTCAATACATCCTACTAAACAATTATTCACGAACTAATTGACTATTTGATTTAGTCATTGCCTCTCATCGGTCGGATCAGCCGTCGTTGGATTCTCGTAGGAGCAAGGATGACTCGATGACCAGGATTCTCAGAGCAATGAGGTCGAAGGGTCAAAACTGTTGGTTTGTATGTTTGAATATGATGGAGATAAGAGGTAGTTCGTAGGTGGATTGAGTTTTACTTTTAGGTGTTGAAAAACAGGCAATAAGATAAGGGTAGTCGTTTATAAGTACTAGTTTTCCTTGCCCGCGCTTTGCGCCGGGATTTAAGTAAAATCGGCAAAGCAAAGGGTTTCAGTTTGTGTTTCATACAATATATTTAAAGAATGTGCTAACGACAGTTTATATTCACAGATCATACACATAAGTGCCCCAGATTCCGTTGTTATATGTTAATGCAAGATATGGCCGTTCACATAATTACAGAGGTTGGATGGTTTCTTAGAAAAGTTAAGGCAGGTACAATTAAGTGATCGTTTGGTAATTGGTACAGTAGATATAAACAAATTAGCTACCAAATAGTTAAGATGGCCTCTATGCAAAATGAGAACTAAAGTAGCTAACTGGAGATGAGAAAAAGATCATATGGAAGCCTTTGAAACACACAACAGCCGCCAACTGCTATCTTCGAATTGCATGCCAAAAAGGGTTAGTTGACAAAGGCGAACCTTTCTTCAAAAGGCAAGGCCAACCTCCAATCTTCAAGCCTTGACACAACAAATAAGCATATCACAGGATTAGCACAAAGGTAACCATTTGTATAAATGGCAACATAAGAATGAAAGAACCAGCACCGTATAACAAACTCACTACCAAGATCTGATTGTTCTCTCCTAAAACCCAACCACCTTTCTAGTCATGTCCATAACTACAGTTGCTAAAGTAGACAAAACAGAACCAAAATCTGGTCCATTAAACTAAACAGAAGCAATTTGAACGCTACAAACAGTCTCTCACACAAATAATTAAAGGATCTGCATTCAAGAAAATAAACTTAACAGAAAAGATAAGCAAAACTAACAGTAACAGTAGACTATGTACAGTACAACTGCTCAACAATAGGAAGGGTGCAACAGATGAATTGTGACGAAGTTTAACGCTACTCGCAGGACATTAGCTAAAGCTTCTTTACAATATCCAAGCAGTGAGCTACTCTTAAAAGAACACCAGAGCTAGAAAACAATTTATAATAGTAGATTGTAAGCTGAAGTTGGATTGCTTGTTTAGCACTAACCACTGGCAATGCAAGACAATGGACGGAAGAACCACCTAACGGTAATTTAGTCCCCAGCTTGATTGGTCCAAAATATTAATTCAGTTAAGAAGAAGAAAGTAAACTTCCTAGTTCCTACCCTTTTCGCTGTCGGTCATCCTGTTAACCCGCTCGGGGGCGATGATGCTGATGATCCCATAATGCAAAGAAGGCAGTTGGCGGAACTTGAAGAGCTTTCTGGTCATTCAGACTGAGACACAGGAGATAATAGGAGAGTTCAACTAACTCATTCAAAAGCAAATACTCCGAACTGGCATCTTCTCCGTACCCAGATTTGGTTGCAGTCAGTCGTAAAAATCTCAACTATAAAATTAAAGAAACAGAGGAATAAATCAAGTATCGTAACTACCATGAGCACAACAAAGTCATTAAAATACCGGAATGGAGATATTTTTTATAATGGTAAAACATGACCAACAAAGTTTTTTAAATCACGACTGAACTTGCCAGAAACAACTTTCAACTAAGAGAGACTGAATGAGAGAGGAAAGCAACAATCCAAATAAAACAGAACGCAAAGTGAGCGAATCTCCAGATAGTGATGCGCTGCAAACCGAGACAGAAGATACTTTGTATAGGGGAATCAAGAGCTTGTGGAAGATAGAGGAGAGATTCAAAAGGCGGGTATGGGTGAGATTGTGTTGAAAATGTCGCCTAGGGTAAGCTTACCCTCCTCGATAGATCCGAAGTTTGAGCTGATTGTCAACTCCAAAATACAGGCTCGCCCTTGAAAGCATTAAAAAAAGACAGAGACATCAAAAAATAGAAAACTGGTATAGATAATGGGGAGAGGGGAAGAAAATAGATGGATGGAATGGAACCATCGAGGAAAACGAATACCTTCGTTGATGACTCTGATCACCGTCTCTGACGGGGACGACGATAATCGTCTGGACCCTTGACCAATCTCGTCAAGAAGCAAATCTGCAAGTAGAAGGGGAAAGAGAATAGATCAATTTACACAAATATTAGCAAACAAAGGAACAACAAATGAGATCGAGAGCTCACCCGAAAGAAAAGGGAAATAGACTGGCAAATTCAAAGCCGCATCGCCCTGGCGTTTCCCCTCCTCTCTACCTGATTCTCGTGTCCGCCACCATCGCTGTGAGGTGGACCTTTTGGAAGCCACGAAAACGGGCATCTCCCACCTCGCCATCGTCTGGGCATCTTCATTTGCTGATTTGAAACTGGGGATTACAAAGAGAGGTATCAAGAAAGGAGAGAAGGAGAGTATATCGAATTGGTTGGTAAGAGACACAGTGATCGTAAGAAAGGGAAGATTGAATGAAAGAGGAAAAAGGCAAGTGGTGAGTTATATCCCCAACATCTCAACCTTATCTCTCCTATTGAGAGAGTGGATCTCTGATGACTGATGAGTGGTGTGACTGTGTGAGTAGTGACGGAAACCAATGAGAGGAAAAAAAGCAGTTATGGAGAATTGAGCCGGTTAGGTAAAATAAGTGGGCAATAACCATAGAGCAACGTGGCCTCCACTCCGCCAAGTATACCATTAAAATATCTCATTCCTGCTTCCCTCCATCCTGACACAGATCGCTCATTCTCTCTCTCTCAACTCTCAAGTACCATTGACAACACCCAACGGCAACGCGTTGATCAACGCGGCCTCACCTGGGCCACACAAATGCAACCAAACCTATCTGCTAGCCAACCAACCAGAGGTCCCATCATGATCCTAACAGAACCATAGCTTTGGAAACCGACCAGAGACCACCATACACCCGCCCACACCCAAGGCCCTTCCGAGTTGAAACAGTAACTATGAGTCTATATGTGCAGTGAAAGGTTTCAGCATGTACAGGGAATGACCCGTTAGTGGGTTTTCTTTTTTCAATGTTTATTGTTTAAGTTAAAATTACAACAATGAAGTGAATTGTTGTTTAATAGAATACAAGTAGTCTAATGGAAAACAGTCACTAATAACTTGTCCTACTACTTCTTGCAAGTAAGCGTTATTTCGCGGAAACGACAACATTTTTTAGTGAGTGGTCAACTACTTTTCAAGGAAATAGTTTACTGGTTTTAACAATGTGATCTTTCGCTTTCAGCAATTGGTTGATCCGATGACACATGCTTTCAACTGAAATCCGCTTGTTGTAAGCAATAGACTGATTTTGCCGAACGCTCTATCGGATTCGGTGAATGATCTACCGGTTGCGACAAACGATCTACCAAATGATACAGTTACATTCTACTTATATTATGAAAATAATGAACAATAAGAGGCATAAAATACGGAATCTCTATGCAGATTACATGCCTAGACAAAAAGAAATAACATCCTCTTTTAAAACTTATAGAAAAAAAACTCATTAAAAATGATAAAAGATTTATAAACGTTAAAGATGACACTATTGTACAACAATTATACTCTACCTTTTAAGTATCTTCCTACCAACAATCTTTTACAAAACAACTATAGAATATAAACAAGCAAACTTAGAATTTGAATAAAAGATGAAATGACTATAGAATAAGTCAAATATAAAAAATAAACATGCATACCATTTTGCAAGTCTACGAGAGAAGAATAACTCGAGAAACTTCTCATTTATGTCTTGTACTAATTATAATTTTTGTATTTGTACTAATTTAATTCTCTTACCAACAAACATATCCATTAATATTGGACTCCTCTAATTATATATGATGATGTCATTAGCAATGATTCTTCAGGTCGACTGGTTGTTGGAAGTTGTAAACCGCTTGGTGGAAGCAGTACACCATTTTACTAGTGATAGTGATAATGATAATAAGACACGAAAATTTTTAAACTGTATGAGTTTTCTACTATATACTTTTTTTTCCTTAAAAATTCATGCACATGTTGCACTCTTTTACATTATTCCATTTTAATCAGGTGATGGGCTCACGACCCGGGCTGGACGCAGGGTGACAAGGGAGGCCCAACCAAGAGCATCAGAGGATCCGTGACGTGGGTAAACATGAAGATAGAAGTGTGAGAACTGCTGCTTGCGTAGGAAGTATGGTAGTTAGGATTTGAATTCATTTGGCTTATCTTTCATTTGGATTGTTAGTGGAATCTTGTCCGCGTAGCTGTTAGGATTTGATTTCATTTGTTAAGTGTAGGGAGATCATATGGATCCTCCAAATCATAGAGATCAGGGTATCATCTTGTGAACCCGATCATTAGGACTTCTCCTCTATAAATAGAGGATGGAAATGAATAAACAGGCAGCAGATGAATTAGTAGAAAAAAGCCCAGAGTTACACTGGCAGGTTCTCGCCAAAAGCAGAACAAACTCACTCCCCTGATTTCCAAGTTTCAACACTCGGTATCATAACACGAATCCATGGGTCCGAAACCAGCGACAGACAAGGAAATTATCGAGTCTCTCGAAGCAAACCTGGAGAGTATTCAAGAGACGATCCAAACGGCCATTCCCGATGATGTTCGCCGAATAGAAGGATCAGTGGCAGAATTAGGGGGTTCGGTGGCTGAACTCGGTGGCCGCCTCCAGGCCATGGAAACTCACTCGGCCACCGCTTAAGCCAGCATCGATGAAATCCTCCGGCTACTCCAACACCGACCTCCCGCCACTGATGCGGATAGATCGTCTACTAGGTCTAGCCTCCACTTTCGCCGGGAAGAACATTGCGAGGAACCCCACTATGAAAGGGAAGAGCTACACGCGTTCTATGGTCGCCATTAGCGAAAGGAAGAACAACATAACCACGCTAGGTATGAGCGTCGGGAAGAACACCCTAGGCCTTTGTTTTCCACGAGCTGCACGAAGCCGAAATTCCCTCAATTCTCCGGGAGTGACCCAACAAAATGGTTCACCAGAGTCGATCAATTCTTCGAGTATCAGAATATTGAGGAAGAACAGAAGGTGCCATTGGCTTCTTATCATCTAGAAGGGGAAGCCAACCAGTGGCGGCGGCGGCTGCAGAATTCATATGTTCAGGAGGGTACTCACGTCACCTGGAAATTGTTTGCCAGCGAACTCTGGACCCGGTTTGGACCGGCTGACGAGGACGACACCGACGAAGCACCCTTTCGTATCCGCCAAACAGGAACTCTTCGAGACTACCAGAGGGAGTTCGAGCGATTGGGAAACAAAGTCCACGGATGGACCCATAATGCTTTGGTGGGAGCATTCATGGGTGGTCTACGATCGGAGATCTCGGAGACCCTGCGTCTCTTCCGCCCCGACTCGCTCAAAGAAGCGATTCGACTGGCGCGAATCCGGTATGAGCAACTACGGCGGACGAAAGCCTCGATTCGACCCATTGCTAGGACCACCAGCGAACACCCCAACAAATAGACTTTTGATTCCTCTAGCCGACCCGCCGAGGAACCAGTATCACGAGCCGGAGCCAAAACACGTGGAGAATTCCCTGGGATGAGCAACAGCGACGACGAGCGGCCGGCCTATGCTTTAATTGTGATGAAAAATATGTTCCCGGTCACCTCTGCAAACGCCCAACTCTACTACTCTGTGAAGGAACGAAAGAGGAAGAGACTGATGACTTGGAAGGGGAAGTCATTGAAGTTTTCCTTCCACGCAATTCATGGCTTAGCGACAGGCCACACCATGCGGCTGTGGGCTCAAATGGGCCCTACCCGAATCTTGGTCCTGATAAACGGCGGCTCAAATCATAACTTTGTGGCCTCTCGCATCGCAGTCCGTCATCAATTGCCGGTCACTCACGTCGAGAACTTCAACGTCAAGATCGCCGACGGGGAGCCCCTTCCATGCAGTTCACGTCATGACCAGGTTAAGCTAACCATGCAAGCAATGGAATTTTCTATTTCCCTTTACGCTATTGATGTTGTTGGAGTCGACGTGGTATTGGGAGTGCAATGGCTAGCTTCATTGGGTAGTATTCTTTGCAATTGGAACACATTGACCATGGAATTTACGTTGCAAGAGAGAAGCAGAAGGTTGAATGGGATGCTCCCTAATACCCATGCCACAAAGTCCTTAAAATTTTTGCTCAAGGAAGTGTCGCAAGGGGTCTTATGTGTTGTATGCATACCGGCGACCGAGAGTGAAGCTTTACAACAAGTACCACCGGCATTCCAAGATCTCATCTGCGAGTATGAGGTTATATTTGAGGAACCCAAGGCTTTGCCTCCACCCTGAGCCATCTCGCACCGAATTCAGCTCAAGGAAAGAACCGATGCGATCAACGTCTGACCATATC